AGAGAAATTTATAGGTGTTCCAAATCTCTGTAGATAATATTTATCATATTGTTCTGAAGCTATTTTATTGTGGCGTTTTAAAGTAATTACTCTTTAAATGGTAATAAGCCACAATTAAAGGTTAAAGTAAGTTTATTGACATTTCAATTTCCACTTCGGAAATCGTTCTCAAAATACAAACATTAGTAAATTGAACAAATTTTGTTTTTTTGGTTACTTGGTGAAAAATAGTGGGAGCTCTCTTTAACGGTTTCTAAACACGTGTCTCTCGGTACTAAATTGAAAAAGACTGTAAGACTTGTACACACTTCTAAATAGGTCTAACTGGTAAGCTGGAAATGTCATCATCAGAGCTATCCTAAAATAACGTTAAGTTAAGTAAATTTTTTATATAAAATACAATGATAGAAAAAACTTACGTCAATTAGGCAATAAATACTTCATAGAAGGAAAATTGTGCACAAACGACATATTAAAATTCAAAGATCGGGCTCTGTAGGCCACAGATCTTGGGTCTAACCCTTATACATATGTATAATTCACATTTAAAAAGTTTTTATAAAAACATGGTTACCACATACAGTAACGACAACAGCTGTCTTTGACTTACATTTTTAAAGTAAAATGAAAATGAAATAGGAAGCTCGGATATACGGAAATAAATCCTAGAGCGACCTCTATATTTAAATTATTAATTAAAAATTGAAAATATCTAAAATGACGTCTGAAGGTTATTGATTATTAATTTTAGCTACTGTAGAATTTTAAATTTAAATATTTTAAATTGATTAGTTAACGTGAAGATTTAAATATACATTTATCAAAATTATCAAAAAACAAAACTTTAAAGTTTGACCAAATAGAAGAAAGTAGATGAAAACCAACCAAGGAGAAGTATCATTTGCTAAGTTAAGAGTTCAACAGCTATTATTGATTATCGATATTATTAATAAAATAAATAATGAAGAAGAAAATATCAAACATTCTCTATGTAGATGAAATCAATGAAAGAAAGTATAAGAAATTCTCTCTTTTAAATCTCTTTTTTAAAAATAAGGGGCAAAGCTTGATCAAATGATGGTTAATTTTATACTAAGTGTATTATTAAAGAAACTTTTTAAAGATTGGATCAAACTTACAATTTAAGTTAATTTGAGTGTTGACACAATTCTGAGGATTCCTTTTCATTTCTCTACTGATTTCAAGATCTTCTAGTAAATTCATTTTTATATAATTATTATTGGGTATACTGTGTAGGATCTTACTATCTCTATGAGGACTAAAGCCATGCTTTGAAGCATGTATATGATTCCCAAAACTAGATTTATCAATCTTAGACAGATGTTCTTTGATGCGTATATCCAAAGGTCGCATTGTTCTACCCACATAGGTCACCGGGCATTCACCACAGGATAATTTATAAATACCACTTTTTGAATCAATAAATAACTGTCGAGTTAGAAATGTTATGGACAGTGTTGTATGCTAGTGATATATTCCTTTTATTCCTTAATTTGTTGAGTATGTTATCAACCAAAGTAGGGGTGTAACCGTTACTATAAGCAAGTTGTTTAATAGTTTCTAATTCTGATTTAAAATTTGAATCTGACAGAGGTAAGCTAAGTAAACGATGGATATAATATAGGTGGCCATTTATAGCAATAAATGGCCTCCTTTTATTGCTATATCCATCGTTTACTTAGCTTACCTCTGTCAGATTCAAATTTTAAATCAGAATTAGAAACTATTAAACAACTTGCTTATAGTAACGGTTACACCCCTACTTTGGTTGATAACATACTCAACAAATTAAGGAATAAAAGGAATAGATCACTAGCATACAACACTGTCCATAACATTTCTAACTCGACAGTTATTTATCGATCAATATCGTACTTAGGTTATCCCTCAGACAATATAGCCAGAATCTTAAAAAACATCCCTAATCTAAAACTTTCTTTCAAAGTTAAAGAAAATATCAAATCTATTTTTTCCCACACTAAAGACAAAATCAACAAATCGTCAAAAAGTGGTATTTATAAATTATCCTGTGGTGAATGCCCGGTGACCTATGTGGGTAGACCAATGCGACCTTTGGATATACGCATCAAAGAACATCTGTCTAAGGTTGATAAATCTAGTTTTGGGAATCATATACATGCTTCACAGCATGGCTTTAGTCCTCATAGAGATAGTAAGATCCTACACAGTATACCCAATAATAATTATATAAAAATGAATTTACTAGAAGATCTTGAAATCAGCAGAGAAATGAAAAGGAATCCTCAGAATTGTGTCAACACTCAAATTAACTTAAATTGTAAGTTTGATCCAATCTTTAAGAAGTTTCTTTAATAATACACTTAGTATAAAATTAACCATCATTTGATCAAGCTTTGACCCTTATTTTTAAAAAAGAGATTTAAAAGAGAGAATTTCTTATACTTTCTTTCATTGATTTCATCTACATAGAGAATGTTTGATATTTTCTTCTTCATTATTTATTTTATTACTAATATCGATAATCAATAATAGCTGTTGAACTCTTAACTTAGCAAATGATACTTCTCCTTGGTTGGTTTTCATCTACTTTCTTCTATTTGGTCAAACTTTAAAGTTTTGTTTTTTGATAATTTTGATAAATGTATATTTAAATCTTCACGTTAACTAATCAATTTAAAATATTTAAATTTAAAATTCTACAGTAGCTAAAATTAATAATCAATAACCTTCAGACGTCATTTTAGACATTTTCAATTTTTAATTAATAATTTAAATATAGAGGTCGCTCTAGGATTTATTTCCGTATATCCGAGCTTCCTATTTCATTTTCATTTTACTTCAAAAATGTAAGTCAAAGACAGCTGTTGTCGTTACTGTATGTGGTAACCATGTTTTTATAAAAACTTTTTAAATGTGAATTATACATATGTATAAGGGTTAGACCCAAGATCTGTGGCCTACAGAGCCCGATCTTTGAATTTTAATATGTCGTTTGTGCACAATTTTCCTTCTATGAAGTATTTATTGCCTAATTGACGTAAGTTTTTTCTATCATTGTATTTTATATAAAAAATTTACTTAACTTAACGTTATTTTAGGATAGCTCTGATGATGACATTTATTATGTCGAAAGTATACTTAGCTTAATTATTAAATTATTTTACACACTATCAATTTTATTGAAAACATACAAAACCAGCTTACCAGTTAGATCTCGGTAGTAACACTAAGATCAAGGACAGAGCACATTTGCGTTTATTGTCTTGTACGATTCAAAAGACGATTCGCGGTATTTAGAGCGTAACTGTTTCAGAAACAGATTATGTCTGTTACTAGCGGCAGTCAACAGTCAAGAGAGAGGACGTCTGTTGCTAGAAAAAGTCAACAGTCAAGAGAGTACATCTGTTGCTAGTGGCAGTCAACAGTAGATAGAGGACGTCTGTTGCTAGTGACAGTAAAGAGTCGAAAGAGTCTTTTTAGTTTGCTATTTTAAAACTGTCTATATTTCTAAAGAAGTGGAGTTGAAGTGAGAGTAAGAAGGGTACGAGAAGGGTAATGATTTTAAAATTGAGGTAGAGAATGATAGCGAAAAATATGACATGGTTTTACGCATGTGAATAAATTAAACAACCTAATTACAATAATTCTGCAAATACATCCCAAGAAATAGGTGAGCGAGGCTGAATAGAAATTCAATGGTTATATAAGAAAGAAAAGATACCTGCTATAGGTAAGTTGGTGAAAAGTAAAACTACATCAATTCTTACTAAAATGTATCTTTGTGGTAACTGGAATTCATTAATGAATTCACTAAATTGAAATGAATCCAATATATTAAAATCAGTATTATAATTTTATTATAAGATTTAGTCAAAATATATAACAAAAACTTGGCGGCATTGGTATTAGGAGCGTTAATTAGGGAAACAATAGGACTCGCGCTCAATTTAGGCTTCTGTATTTTAGATAGACGATAAAATCTCGAGGCATAACCATTATAATTATGTAATGATTTAGCTAAGGTTTTATTTGGCTTATTAATTTTATTAGAAAATATTAAAAGTTGGAGGTCGGAGGCTGATAATATCTATAATAATCGAATGGAAATTGGCTCAGACTAAGATTTTGATGACATAAATCGATCGTGTAGCCTGTAAACTCCATATACTATGTACATATTTTATATAAGGGTTAGAATGGTGTTAGATTAAGTGACTAGTCGTCTAACTATTTCAATCGAAAGAAGCCTCAATAAGATAATTTTTATTTATATAATAACTTTACAGCAATTATTCTCAGTGTATGTCATTTCTATTTTACTTCTGCAACTTTCGAACGCAATTTCTTGTCAACTGCTGGATTAAAAAATAATTAGGCACCATTGAATAGAAAAGTGGGCGCTCTTTAAAATAATATACCAGTTGATCCATTTAAAAATGTTGGGTAAAATTGACCCCTGTTAGGGGCAAAAATTTCCTCATTGATTTACCTTTCCGATTTTTCATATTATTTACAGGAATGTAGATATTAACGGTTCAGAGTTTTTAAATTGTCACCTACTAGAATCTTACATAAATATTTTACATAAATATTTTACTTAAATTTTTCATTAATACGCATTTTAAATTATGTTAGTATTGATTTGAATCATCTCATCTATTTTTATGTTCAGTAGACAATATGGTAACATCTTAAGAGATAAGATCTCGTTGTCAAAAATTATATTACATTTTTGCATTATCATCCACAATACGATAACGATGAACTACTTATGAATCAAAGATGGTCAATATCACGTCAATTAAGAGTTGCCTTGAGTGCATTAATTGTCGATACATTGTGTTTGACAGCGCGATACATGCTGTTACTCGGATGATACTTGAGTTTAAAAAAATAGTGGGAGATCCTTTTAGATTTTGGCAGGAACCGTAAAAGTATATAACCGAATTCTAAAAGTTACTCAAGCATAACCACCTGTATCTCACTACAGTGCAAAAATGAAACAAGTAAGAATATTTTTTAAAAAGCGTGTGCGTAAAATACAATAGATTAATAGTTTCAAAAGTTTTGTGAAAAGTGCTGTCAAAATTGTAGAATGTTAATTCATTAATGGAATTATTTACTTGTACATTTCGTACATTAAATACTCTATTTTTATGTAGAGATTAACGCATTATACTTTAAATTATATTTGTAATTCTACTGTTTTAAAACTTTGGTAATTGTTTAAGTTAGTTTTAAGAACAAGGGTTATGGTCATGTACTCCATTTATATTGTTAAAGTCCTATTCTAAATATATTTCCCTAAATCTCGATTTCGGGAATATTGTGTTTTGTTGTATTTCTCTACAGTTTTTACTTATGTGGCTGTTTGATGCAGCTTAACATTTTTTATTTGAGCTGTTCAAAACTAATGGCATAGTGTACTTAATAATTTTCTCAATATTTCTTCTTCTTCTTATTCGAATGGCGCTACAACCCTTTGTGAGTCTTGCCCTGCTTAACAATGTTCTTTCATTCTGTCATGTCGGATACTTTCCTTCGCCACTGCCTAATGTCCATGGTTTTAAGATCCCTCTCTATGTCGTCTATCCATCTTTTACGGGGCCTTCCTCTTGTTCTGTTCCCTTGGTGCTTCCATCTCTGGTCTTCTTTTACAGCTCTATTATCTGGCATTATTTCTAGGTGACCAACCAGTTTAGTCTTTGTGACTTTACAAATCTAACAATATCTACGCTCTGCATTGGTTCATCCAGTGCGTAGTTCATTTTAATTCTCCACGAACCATCGCTGCATTGGCTTGGTCCAAATAAATTTCTTAGTATTTTGCGCTTAAATATTCTCAGTTGATTTTCAACAGTATTTGAGAGGGTCCACGTTTCACATCCATATGTGACCACTGGTCTAATTACTGTTTTGTAGATTCTAAGCTTAGACACACGATTCAGTAACTTACTTTTCATTAAGTCTTTGTATGCTTAAAAGCACTTATTACCGCTAAGAATCCGTGCTTGTATTTCTTGACTAGTTTTGTTGTTGTCATTTATTATTGAGCCTAGGTAGGGAAAAGTGAAGGCATATTTGTAGGTATGGTTGTCTACCTTCAGATTCGCATGTTGATTCGATTTTGTACACTCCATATATTTTGTTTTGCTTTCATTTATATATAGGCCAAACGTAGCAGCTTCTTGTTTCAGTTCTATAACTTTTTTGCTTAATACCCTTTTGTTGCGGCTTATTATGGCAACATCATCCGCATATGCGCATGTTTGCATTGATTTTGTATTAATACAGCCGTTTATATCCAGTTTTCTAACAACAGCTTCTAAAGTTAGATTAAAAAGTGTTGTTGATAAGTCATCACCTTGTCTAACTCCATTTTTAATATCAAAGGCCTGCGTTATATCTCCATCTATTCTCACCATAGCTTTGGAACCCTCCAGAGTTATTCGTATAAGTTTAACCAACTAATTGGGTATCCCTAACATAGATAGTTACTTTCACATCATTTTTCGATCTGCTCCATCAAACGCCTGTTTAAAATTTTGAAATTTTTCGCCTGAAACGCGAAAAACACATTTTTCATGTATACCTCTTAACCTATGTATTTGGTCTATAGTTAACCTCCTTGGTCTGAAGCCCCATTGGTATTCACCGATCATCTCCTCCGAAAACAATTTCAGGCGGCTGTATATAATTCCTGATAATATCTTGTAGACGATATTTAAAACTGTTATGCCCTATAATTTTTGCAGAGTCATTTGTCTCCCACTTTGTACATAGGAAGTATGATTCCTACTTTCCAATCTTCTGGGATGACTTCTAGTGTCCATATACGGTAGATTAGTTTATGGATACGCTTCCATAGTGCATGTCCACCATTCTTTATCAGTTCTGCAGGTATTCCATCTGTGCCAGGTGCTTTGTTATTTTTTAGATGTTTTATGACGTTTATCATTTCTTCCAATGTTGGTTGCTCAACTAGTTGTTCTGCTGTATGGTGAATTATTTTTTTATCTTTTTTGTTCTTTTTCTGGGTTTACCATCTCTTGAAAATGCTACTTCCACCTTTTCATTATTTTCTCTTTCTCGCTGATAATTGCCCCATTTTTGTCCTTGCAAATTGTTGATCTTGCCATGTATCCTTGTTTGTATTGTTTGATATCCTTGTTAAATTTTCTAGTCTCTTTTCTGTTAATATAATCAGTAATTTAGGGTATTTTTCTATTCAACATTTCTCTCTTTTTCCTTCTACATATTTTGTGAGTTCTTCATATGCCCTTCTATTCAATCGGGAATCCCTTTGTAGACATTTCTGTCTAGCTATATGTTTGCTATTTATTACTTCATATGCCCTTCTATTCAATCGGAAATCCATTTGTAGACATTTCTTTCTAGCTATATTTTTGTTATTTATTACTTGTTGGCAATCTTGGTCAAACCATTCCTCGTTTCTTTTATGTTTCCTTCGCCATATTTGTAATTTTGATAATATACAAGGCAAATATCGAGCACGGTATTATTTAAATCTTGCCCAAGTACTTTCGATCACTAGATCATCTTCAGGGGCATTTCGTCAATTGCGGCCTATCCGACAAGAGTGGAATGCCATAAATATAAAACGGGACATAACAATACACTAGAAAAGACAAACAAAAACTTTAAAATTTTTGAGCAAAGGTGAAGCTACTTTGTCTTTATGTAGTGTATTGTTATGTCTCATTTTATATTTATGACATTCCACTTTTGTCGGATAATCCGCAATTGACGAAATGCCCCTGAAGATGATCTAGTGATCGAAAGTACTTGGGCAAGATTTAATTAATACCATGCTCGATACTTGCCTTGTATATTATCAAAGTTCATTTATTCGAACATTCAACCTTATATCAATATTGGTAATTGTCGTTTGGATGACATTCCATTCTTCTTCAATGTTGTTTTGTTCTTCTCTTTCATTTAATATTACTTTTATTTTCTGCTGGTACGCATTCTTCTTTTTAGGCTTTTTAAACATATATGTGTTCCATTTTCTTTGTTTGGCACCTTTTCTCAATTGAAAGTTTCAAACTTTGTAGTTAGTTATCGATCCCAAATCCTCTGTAAGAAGTATTTCTTGTTCAAGTTAAAAACAAATTGGTTTTTGTTGTTAAAATAAAATAAGTTGTTAAATTACAATATAGTGATTATTGTAAAGAATTTCTAAGTGGGTGATTAAAAATTCCTCTTTAATGTTAAAGTTTCTTCTACCGCCTATTCGTAGGTTAATAAAATTACAGCGTTTTTTATTATTGTACCATTTTTATAACAATATCTACCACTTCATGGATTTATTGTTTTATATTTAGAAAATATTTCATATCTCATCTCATAGACGTATTTTTAGGTATCTTCTATAACGTTCCACTTACAAAGTGTTGCTATTCTTTGACTTTTACTTTATATTTCTACTTTTATTATTAGTCTATTCCAAATTTATTTTTTTGAATATTTGGCCCATTTAAAGCACAGATATATGACACTCTTCTCTCGTAATAAAAGTATATTTGTTGATTATTGAATTTATAAAACTACGACTTTTAGATCTCTTGTAACTAAACGTTAAATTCCTCAAAAAAATTTAAATACCATTGTTATTCAATCAATATTCAATGAAAGTTCCTACTAAAAAAGTAAATATTGTTAGTTATTTTTATACTGTCCATATTTTCTAATATTTTGTCCATTTTCCGTTTATACTGTGATATTGCGTTAATGGTAGCTTAATGAAAACATAATAATTATAAGGCTGTTACTATTTGCATCAGATATCTATTATATATATTTGCTATGTCAATATGCATATATACTATTTATATACTTAATAAATTAATAACCAAATAATAAATATATTTTTTAATTTTTAGGTAATAATCTTCTGCATACTTTTAACATCTACGTTTGGTGCCAAACTAAACCAATATCTTCCTCCAAGACCTGAGAACAACAACGCAAAATATGAACCACCAGCACTTCCAAATCAACCGTTTACCGCTGCTAGTCATTCCCAGCAGCAATTTTCTAGTCCAAATGTTCACTTCAATAGAAACGGTAATCCTAAAAATCAAGATATTTCTGCACAAGGTTCCAATTCATTTCAAAAGTTCCCAAATCCCACAACTTTTAACGGTAACACACAAGGACATCCATCAAGCTTTGGTTTAAAATCTACCAATCAAGCACCAAACGCTGGAAGCGATAACTCATTCGCGCCATCATTTAACTCTTTTAACCAAAAAGCAGCACCGAATGGTCAATTTGGACAGTCAGATTCATTTTCAAATAGTTTCAATCAACCATCCGGACAACGGCAATACAATGGTCAATTTTCTGGTTCTCAATCCGCTCCAATCGGTTTAATCAGATCTGAATTCAATCCTGATCTCGGAGATGGCCATTATAGCTATTCATATGAAACTGAAAATGGAATTTCTGCCCAAGAAGAAGGATTTGTCCGAAACAAAGGTAAATCTGCCCAAGGAGGATTCTCTTATACTTCTCCAGAAGGTGAACAGATCACGCTCGAATATACTGCTGACGAAAACGGTTTCATTCCAAAAGGATCTCACGTTCCTGAAATACCAGAAGCGATCTTAAAATCAATTGAACTGAATAAAGCTGCTGAAGCTCGTGGAGAATACAATGAAGGTTCCTATAAACCCCAAGGAAATGTAAACGGTGGGTATCAAAGAAATGGACCACGAGAACAGTCTGCATTTCCTTCTCAAGAAAATAGACAAATAGCATCTTTCTCAGGTCCGAAATCTTTTGGAGCACAAAACAATGGCTATGAATATACAGGTCCATTTAAATCAAACAACGTTGCTAATGAAGGCACATTTGCGTCCCAGCAAAGCAACCAAGTAACGCCTTTTGGAGGCCAGCTGGGATTCAAACCTTCTTTTGAGCAAAGTAGTAAAACGGAAACCAGTTTTTGGCTAAAAGTATCCCAAAATCACATTTTGCAGATCAAAATACTTTCGCTACTCAACAAAACCAACGAGTAGCACAATTTGGTCAGCAACAAGGACTTTTTGCAAAGACAAATGAACGTAAACCTTCATTCGGATCTTCAAGTCAATTTGGACAGCCAAATAAAGCTTCTAAAGATTTTAATAAACAAAGCAATGGTTATAAATACCCAGTTCCTGAACAGTCCGCTTTTTCTTCCCAACAAAACAAGCAAGTAATCCCTTCTGGGCCTCAGTTTTCTCCAAGACCACAGTATGGAGCACCTGAACAGTCATCGTCAGCCAGTCAAAACCATGGACAATTTAGTTCATTCCAAGGACCAAAAAGTCAAGTCCCGAATTTTTCTGGAAAAAACGAGTTCAACAGTCAATCAGCTTTCCAACCTAAAGAACCACAGAGCGGTACATTTAAACAATTTGGCACAATTCAAGATAGCAATGGTGGTTACAAATACTAGACAATGATATTATCTCGCATATGTGCAGCTTTTATATTTTGAAATAAATAAATTATATAAAGTAACTCCGGTATTTTAAATATAACAATAAGGTTAAACTAGATAAGTATTTTTACTCATAATTTGTATTTACATCAATAACAATATTATTACTGTATGGTCTTTTTTACCAACATTATTCTTTTATGCTTCTTCCAAAGTCAGTTTACCATCGTCGGCTTTTTAATCTCATTGATACCAATGCTGATCATTGGCATAAAAATGTAGAAAACGGCTAGTTCATCAAACGAATATTTCGAGAAAAATCATATTCTTATTATTAAATTTGATTAATTTTTGTTTTAAATTTAAAAATAAAGACGCTTCTTGTATCTGTTTATTTTGTACCAATTTAAAAATTGTCAGATACCAAGTTACTTCTTTCAAATCCACACAAAACATGTTAATTTTATTTATTGAAAATAATATTTGACTCATTATTTAGCTTGCACATAACAAATATTTTTATTACAATTACCTGTAAATAATGCTCATTCTGTCAGACAATCTCAAAATATTGTCTATCCAGCAAGGACCACGAGGAGGTATGAGCCTTCCTTGTCAGTAAAGGAAAAGTTTTGGCATGTTTATAAGAATATACAGTTCGTGTTTTTTGCATTTTGTTTTTATTATTTTTTTTTTTTGTTTTTTTTTTGCCATTTTTTGACTTTATATAATAATGAATACTAGAAATATGCAAGAAATAAAAAACAAGTTTTAAAGATACACCACAATAGTTAGAATGTATAGCAATTATAAGAATAATAAAATAGAATTTTAAAAAGAATTGTTCTCAATGGATAACTACTGGTGCTATTGGCGGTAAAACAGGATATTCGTTTTCTATTTTTATAATATGAACTTCGTAATTTTGCCATACATCGCTTTTAATGCCACTAATTACCTGTCGAATATTCTCAAGGACCACTGCGCTTAAAGTTGGTGTCTGATTATATTTTCGTAATCGTTTGTACCCCAAACCAATTCGATTGGAGTGAAAATGTAATAGTATGGGGGTAAAACGCAAAAGGGGGTGACCGTGTCTGTAGCAAATGGTGTCAATGACGTATTCGATTTTAAAATTCCTACTTTTGATCATTTTAATAAATTCCTTTTTACCTGCAACTTTTTTATAAACAGTGATATTTTTAATTTTCATAAATTTTAAAATTTCATCCTTTTTCGTGTTATTATTAGGTATTTTATTTAATATGTGTATGTTGGGAATGATACGAGGCATTGTTCACATCAATTACTAAATTCGGCGAAATATTAAGCAAGAGCTATGAGACAAACCACTTTTCAGATAAATCGGCGCTTTTATATCTTCGTGATAATCGGCAGAGGACGTTGTTATATTTTTGGCCGACAATACCAAATCATTAGATACAAAACCCTCTTTGCTTCCGGCATGAAGAATAATAACACGTTTTCCTCTTAAACACGGTACATTTTTTATGTTGTCAACCCAGCCTTGGCAGTAAAACCACGACAACAGATTAAAAATCCTGTTTTAAGACTAGCAGAAGACTAAGGAATTGGTTAACCGGTTAATCAATAGTGCTAAATGCAACTTTCTAGGAAAAACAGGAACTGTTTTAAACCGTAGCCAAAATGACTGAATCTTGCAACAGTAACATATTTTAATAAAGTGGTCGTACAGATCAAAAATGGTACCCTAGTTTTCTACGAAGGACCCCAGCAATTTCTTAATTTTTACAATGAATGCATAACCAATTAGCAAACCTTGTGTCGTAATGATAAAAAGTGTATCTAAATATGTATATTGCTAATCTAAAGAAGAATGCAAATAATGTATAAAGATCCTTTAAACATGAAGTAATGCAATCTCAAAATATTTATATTGCCATAGCCATAATGAAAGTTTCATAATAAGAATGAGCTTAAAAAACGAAGTGACATAAATGCAAGTACACAAAATACCATTTTCCACATAAGTCACAAAAATGTGGGTGAAATCTTAATACAACACGGAAAACGGCAGAGAAATCAAAAAATAAATAACAAAATCCATGATAACAATATGGATCCAATATCATCGCAATCACGCATTTTCCTTTAATTGTCTCCCGCTCAAGAACAAGTTATTAACGCGTGAATTGCGAGCTATCTCATACAAAACGCATAAATTAAGTTTAATCCAAATTTAATGAAAATGTAAACATAACAATAGACGTATGACGGAGAGTTTTTTTTTTTTTAAATATAACAGTTAATTTGTTTTGACTTTGTAATTATATTTATGCATACAATTTCAAAAATAATACCAATAAAAAATAAAATCCTCTTTCCATTTCGGAAATCGAAACGTAAAAATAAACTCCTTTCAAAGTAAAATTAAGGCTTATTTCAATAAAAAAAATAAATTGCATTTTTATGTTCCTTAGGAAATTTATATCTGTCCATTCATTCTTTTTCACGTTTACGCCCGAACAGGTGACTCACACTTATGAAAAGTCACGTCGTCACCCATCGTGAATGCCATTATTTCACGTAATTCGCCCAGAACTAGTGTTAAGACGATCCTTTAAGCTGGATTTTCATAGATCCGATATCCGATGACACGAAATACGAAATTTTTTCGTACGAATATATTTGATTGTCGTATCCGAAATTTTTTGACAGATATGTCATATATATTTGTTATGTGTGAGACATCAAGTTAGAATCTATGGATAGGGCATCACGTGACTAAAAACGACCTCACTTCGGCCACATTGTTAATATTGTTTTGACACTTTTGACAGATCGTATAAGTTTATTTACGTTTGTTGTTTTTCGAATATTTTAAGTTTTATAATACTTTTATAGAAACTGTAATAATATACTGTGATAGTGCATAATAATAGTTTCTTGTTCTCAACGTAGTTGCAGTAGCAGAAGCAATGCTAATAAAAAATCTTCAGGAATAACGTTGTACAGGTTAGTATACAAATATGTAAACAAAGTAATGGCCCGTACTTCAGAGAATAAATTAATAGTATTTGACTGTATTAATTTATCTTTATGTATATCTTTGTTATATATATCGTGTTTTTAGTGTTTACCGCGGGATAAATAAATCATAGTTTATTAAAAATGTATTGCACTTTTTTAGATTATGATTAAATCTTCTAAATAACTAGTCATATTTTTATAGTAGTTTTAATATTATTGAGTCCGTCCATGATCCCGCCGCCATATTGGTATTGTCGTTAGCCACACCTACCTACGCTGTTTTTAATACACACGTTAATATACTCATAGCTTCTCCATAGATTCTAACTCGATGGTGTGAGATTATTGGATCGATTGATATTTATTTCAATGAACTATCAATAAATGTTAGCTGTTTTGTTTGATAAAATATATATTATATTGAGCTACTTTTTCGTCGTTTTTGCCTCACATAGTGTAAAAGACACAAAAGCAACACTTTATTCATTGCATTTTTATATAATAATTAGGTCTTTGTTCCATTTTAAATATATATTCAATATGAAATAATATTTCAAATAGTAAACATAAACACTCCACAAAAGTAAGGTTAAAGTTAAGTTAAAATGTCAACAATGTAAAAATTCATCCGATTTTCGTGCAAAAGCTAAAATATTTAACTTCTTCCGATGACTTTTAATTTCGTACGAAAATCCTACCTGTCATTTTTCAACCAATGAAATTCGCTAAAATTTATATTGTATCATCGTACCGTCGGATATCGGACCTGTGAAAATCCACTTTAAGAATGTCTAGAACCACAGAATACTTTAGTATTCTGTGCTAGAACAGATATGGGAGTAGGCGGTTCATAAACAAAAAATATTAAAAATAAACAGGTTATATGGTTCTGACATGTACAAAAAATAGACGAAAACTACGGCCCACACATATCAATTGTAGGATAAATATAAATCATAGGAGGCGAAAAAAACCTAAGAAAATATGTAAAGAGAAATTAACTAAAGCAACAAGTGCTAGAGATCTGACAGATGAACGAATAATAAAAACCAGTAGAAGTTAGGTATCAGACAACATGATTCGATGCCTAACTTCGTTGCCAACAAATAAATGTGTTTTTTAAAAAAGTTTTAAAAATTGACTTATGAGACCTATTGTTAAGGCATCACTGCACTTTTCGGCCTCTTGCTTTTTTGGGCATTCTCTGTGTATTTTTCAGTGTTATATATTATATTTGTTAGAATATCCAACATAAAAAGTGGATGTTGTCCTATAGTTGTTCTATATGAAGTGACATTGTTGACAGTTCAATGAGTAATGTCAAAAATAGGTCATAAACTACTGTCAGTCAAGGTTTGTATTGTTCTGTATGTAAGAAGGAATAAAGTATAATTGTTGATGGCCAGACGTTTATTGGTACATATTTCCTAAAGTACATATTTCCTTGTCTCTTGATGTCTTCAAACTAGAAGGAGGACTTCACCTAACTTAAATTATAACAATCTAAGTATAACAAACTAAAAACGATCATTAAGGCGCGCCGCACATTCAGACGCAGGTGACGCAGGCAACGCAGCGTAGGACAGCACAGGTTTCTGTTTTCCGTACAATTACATTACCCCGCGCGAATTTAAACGCAGGGCAGGGCAGCACAGAACTGTGTTTAAGAAAACCTGTTAGCGCAGTCGTCCGGACACAGATTCCTGTGCCACGTGCAGAGCAGTTTGTTTGTTTCTAGTAAAATTGTGTGTGGTTATATTCGAAATAAATGAACAATTAATCGAATTGGTGAGAAGCCAGACAATTCTTTACGATACCAACGATCCCAATTATTTAAATTAAATAAGTAATTTACAAGAAGATAGTGAAGATGAAGACCCACAACAGGAAGATCCATAGTTGATCCAGAGACTGAAATTTTTGACGAGGTGACATTCAACATGATACCCAAGAAATCTTGAGTGTTAAAAATAACATTGTTAATGAGCCGTCTACGTCTGGTA